AAGTAGCATTGTCTTTCTTCTAGTATTCATATGGAAAACTTCTCTAGGCTTCCTGCTCACGAACAGCAGATGTGGAGACTGTATTCCGTGGTTAGAGATGCTACCGATACGGATGGCAGAAAGCTTGCTCTTGCCTTCATAAAACTGCCTACCAAAGAGGTTTGTCAAAGTTGTGTTTTTTCAGACACCATTCGGCCAGCGGGGTAGGCTTTTAAAGAACTCTCTGGGCAAAACTGCAAGTACCATAATGAAATCGAAAATTTTTCTCCAAATCTAGGTGCAGCTTTGAGATGAGTGAACCAATTACTTTAGTTTGGCGAGAAGGTTTAACATTGCGGCAAACCCACTTTTACAGGAAGTCCTCTAAATATCCCCGCCTGCTTAGCCGCATTATCTTCGTTTTAACATTTGCATTTCTAAACCTTAGTGGGATCAGCATTAGTTTCATTTCCAGGAATATCCTGACTATTACGAAGTGATCAAAAAGCCTATGGATCTGCAGCGAATACTGCAACGGCTGCAAGCTCACGGTTATGGAAGATGGATTGATCTCGTTGCTGATCTGTCTCTTATGTTAGAGAATGCATGTAAATATAATGAACCTGAAAGTACCATCTACAAGGTGCGAGGGTTTCTTGTTTTTACTAGTTACAAAGATTCTTCAGGTCCAAAGTGCAGCCTTGTTCGGTTCGCTGTGGACGATGGGGCCTGTATAGAGATGTGTTTGGCTCGGCGCCAGGCCGTTTTCCATCACTTGTTGTACCGGGCAAGCGATAGAAACTGTATCCTATCGTTTGTATGAATCGTTTTCCTCAAATTGTTGTCGCTTGTCCGCTTCATAAACGGGCTGGCGCTGCGTCAAACCCAACCCCCCTCACACTTCCCATGTGCAGCGAACAAGACTGCATCCTTCATCATCTTAATTACAGCGCAGCTAAAGTGCAGTAGACAAATAAATATCAAAAAATCCAGGATGCCGTCGCCTTGCAACGGCTGGTATTGGAGAAGAAACGTGAGCTCGGTGCTGCTGAAGACTGTATGCCGCGTGTACAAATGGAAATTCGCACAATGTTCACCAACATTTTTGTCGCTGTTTTCTCCAAGAAGGTAGTCACCGAGGTTCAAATTGTGCAATTTTTATCCTTTTTTTCTATTGTTGGTATATGTCAGGACGCCGACGGAAGGTGCAGATGTGACTCGTTCGCCGAACTGCCAGATCTTCTGAAAGCACGCGGATTCCCACGGGATGAATGGCCATTTTCGCTGGATCAAATCAAGAGGAATATTGATAAGGTAAGGTTTCTCGAGAATTTTTGATTCTTACATCGCTGTCTTGTTTTTGAAGTTCCCTTCTTTCTTATTTCTAGTTTTGGTTGCAAAAATAATGGTTGTATTTCTGAATGTATTTTCAGGGTCGCTATCGCCGCCTTGATCGATTTCAAAAGGACTTCTTCGATCTGTTCGAACGCGCGAGGGAGCTCAGTCGGAGTGACTCGAAGGTATCCGATCAACTTTTATAGTTCTTCTTTACGTTTTCGATTCCCTTAGTCTTGTCTTATTGGGCCGCCTTCATACTTAGCGACTTGAGCGCTTCAAGTTTCGCCATCATCCTTGACGACCCGAACCCTTCGAACGCAGTATTTCAGAATCGCGCGACTGCGACCCACCGCGCTCCACCGCTAATCGTTGGACTGCTGCAACTACTAATTTAATCACATTTGAGATGGAATTTCCTTCGCGATCGTTGCAGCGATCAAGCGATGCCAAACGAGCTGTTAATAACCATCGTGCGGTTCTCATATCGCGCGACTGCATCGCTATATTCGTGAAGCATAAATGTAGTTTTAGCACGCGGTAAAAATGGCTTTTATTGCATGTCCCGTCGGGAAAAAATTTTGCGAAAATGCACCCCCCACCCTCCCTTCCCCTCGAAATTTACTCCTTTGGTACAGCCCTTACCCATTCCTAATGCATTGCATACGCGAAAACAGAGAAAGCTCAACAACCAATGACCTTTTCATCAGAAACAAATACGATTCCCCTCCCTTCCCTCAGCGACCGAATACGACCCCTCGTTGGGGATCCGCAACATACGACGTGCCTGTGTATTTTCCATCTTCTGAATTATCTATATCACATATCGTCTGCAATGGCCATAGAAGTCCTTGAGCGTGTGGTAGTAAAGCCTTCCTTCTTTGGTGAGCCGGCCAGTGGGTTCCCTCTAGCTACGGGGACACGAACGTTTCATTGCTTTTGTCAGAATCTTGGTGGAGAAGTCTGTACATTGGAAAGGCGGTCGTTCTCGTGTTCGTTTGGCGGCCCTAGGGATCCATTCGGTAACCTTCAAAGGACGGTTACTGCTGCGTGGGATTTGAGGTCCTGTGGGACATCCATTCAGTAGACTGGGTCCCACGGGACATTCAATGGTCTTTGGTCCCGTCTTGAGTAGTGAGGTTCACTTCGACCAATTCTAAGCGTGCTCCTAAAGATGCTTTAGCTCGATTCCACTTTTCACGTATACTCCTCACATTTCCAAAACTTTCAGGGAGGATTTGCCCTGTTGAGAAGAATTATGGTTTAATTGTGATTTTCAGCTTTTCGAAGATGCGACAGAACTCCAGCTGGCTTTCATACGAGAACGAGATGCGCAGTGTAAAGGAGTCCTTGTTTCGACAGCTTTCATCGCTATAGAAAATGTATGATACTCTAACAGTCTTCTAAAAATCTCAATTCTCGGAATAAATGTGTTTCTTTAAATTGCTCTATTTTCAGCATATCTTGGAAGCTGTTGAAAAATTAAAGAAATCCAAAATGCATCAGGAAGCTGAGATTCAGCGGCGGGAGAGCAATGATCAAGAGATTGAGAAACAGGTACTTACCTTCATCTCTTTCTGCCTTTCTTCTTTCCTCCTTCTTCACGTTTTCCCCGCTTTGTATCCTGCGCACAGTCTTGTTCGCTGTGGCTGGCTTGTCAGGGGGCTGTGGTTGGCAAGATGCCAGCGTTCTCCACCAATTGTTGAAGCTGACAAGCGGCCCCAATTACTTGAGAATGGGCTCGCGCCGCGCCAAGCTCAGCTCCCGTGACGCGTCCGCGCCAAATCCACCTAACACGCTATAGCATCCGCACCGAACAAGACTGTAGGGAGCTATTGATGGCTATTTTTCGCCATTGATATTTTCTTATCCAGGAAGGAGAAGTCGATTTGGACTCGCTCAACTTCGACGGAGTCGAGTATGTGACACCGTCCTACGCTTACATCTCTCGGACTGATGACAACTCCCGAGCTCCTCCACACATAATGCGTATAGAACGGATTTTCAAGTAATTATTGTTGTTATTTTTTGAATAGGGTAAACCAGGCATGCCTTCGCAATTGTGACTGCTTTAGGACGGACACTGGTGAAATGATGGTACGAGGGAAATGGGTGTACAGGCCGCATGAGACGTTGCATTTGGCTAACAGGAAGTTCATTGAGAATGAAGTAATTCTCAGTTCACTTTCTTTTCTATTATATCACTGAATTTCACCTTTTCAGGTTTTCATCACGCCATTCATTGACACGGTCCTGGCGGAAAGGCTGTGTGGAAAGTGTATGGTTGTACCTGTAAAAGTTGCCATGCATAATATCGTTGAAGGTGTTGATCCAAATGATTTGTTCGTCTGCGAATGCCGATATCTTGGCAAACCACGATATTTTGCAAAAATCAAGGTTTGTGGCACGTTGTATGAGGACTGTGTCGGAAGTAAAGTGGGCGACAGTCGAATATGAGGGGGCATGTGGTGCAGTAGTATTAGAACTATAGATTTTTTGCATTCTTGCACAGACTTCCATGGAAGCCTCGCTCCAGATAGCCCCCCCCCCCTTCTACCGTAGTGCAACATATTAGCGATGTTGTTACGTGAATACGTTGTACCACCGTAATCGCAATTAGCAAAGACTTTTGCAAGCTTCAAGTTTCATTTCCGCGTGATTTCCTCGGTTTTTTTTTCTGTGTTGAACTGCAGTTAATGCTGGGAGGGCTGGAAGGTTCGAGTAAACGATTGCTTATAAGGGGATGAGGGTTTGGGGGTAGAGGTGAACTAGATGACTACCCTACTCGGAGCACGTGGTCCCTTGGGGATCCCAGCAAGGATGTCGTGTTTGGTCGCTGGAGGGACAGTGGCCATAACTGCTCTCGAGAAGAATGCTTCTGGATGTAGCTGACTTTCCCCGGTTCGAAAGTGCGCTGTGTACCCCCTACCCACTCCACGGCTGTTTTTCGACAGAACTGGGCAATTCCTCTGGAAAAGTGTGGGGAAGTTGGAAGATTTTGGCCAGGTAGTTGGTGGATTGTAGAAGGGGGGTTGTACCAGAAGAGAAACTTCTAGGGAGGCCTTATTTTGCAAAAAAAAATATTCCCAAATAGTAGGGAGCGCCCTGACCCTTTTTCTTTCTTCCTTCCTTGACTTAGGCAGAAATCCTTTCCAACCTTTCATATTAGGGGGAGGTTTCGTAGTGATTTTACGTGCCCCTCTCTATTCGACTAGTACCGGAATGCCCCAATATATCCGACTAGCGCCGAAAATGCATAAACGATGATGTAACATGATTCACAATATTTGTTCAGGTATGGCCATTCCCTGAAGAAGAGGACTCGTTGAAATTGACATCGAGATCGCGTCCACTCTCCCCAGTGCGTGTGACGAGTACTTTCATGAACGTGGATGGCGTAGCGGACCGAGAAGACGACGAAGTACGAACAGGAGTGCTAGTTTTCTTTTTTACATTTAGACTTGATGGATGGGGAAACAGGGGGGGGGGGGCGATGTGGTGTAGTGGATAGAGGCGCCACTTGCCACGCGGATCCATGCAACCCGATTCTGAAACCGATCCTCGTCGGGATCAGTCAAGTCATCATCACTCACCCTTAGTCGATTAGCCGATATCTGACTCATCTGGGATCTCATTTATCGTAGGCTGCCCCGCTAATCATAGTCTCAGCCAAATCGCATTCAAATTGTCAGTGCGATTCCTGCTGGAGATAGGATGCATGGCGTATCCCAAAGAGGAATGGATCAGCGCCGAAAGCTCTGAGTTTCCTCCCATCAAGATGCATTTAGCTTGAGAAAAGATTAAGAAAATTTATCACTCTCGGATTCCGAAAAATTGTGTCCAACGATTAGTAGTGATTTCCATTGCAAGGTGCGTTGACCTTACTCACCACTAGTCTTCATCCCAAAGCTCGTGAAATTGACGTCACATTTCGGTCTGATCATGACTTTTATTTAATGAGGCTCCTCCGCCTGATATAATAGCTTTCGGCGCAGTTTGGCTTGGTGGGGACATTTTGTCTGTGTCCATCGATCACTGCCGATGCCTCCTGTGGAGACTGCGAATTCCACTAAACCTGTCCAAAGCAGAGGCTTTGTTTACACTTGATCTCTACAGGTCTTATTAAGCTGAAGCGTACGGTTCATCAGGACCTAAAGAAAGAATCTACCAAAAATGCACAATACCCCTCTGGGGCCAAACTGTGTCTACCCCTGGACCGAGTGCTACATTCTCAGTTTCGTATGAAAGCTCAGTTTGTATTTTAGAAATCTCAGACGCATTCGTCGTCAAGCTCGGAAGAGGACGACCGGCTTCGAGACTCTGTAGTTCTTGACATTGATCGACCAGAGGTGAGGCTATTATCGCGACCTTTTGACAAAGCAAATATCTAATCGTAGCGCCGGTTGCAGATTCCTGCACGTTCTGATGCGGATGCCGATGGACGCACATATCTTCATGCGATGCGCACTCACAGCGGGAAATATCACGATGTTGGCCAATTCGTGCTGGTTTTTCAATCCACAGAAACCAATGTGCCGCTGATGTACTGTGCGTAGCGACAAGTGTGGAGACGAGAAAGAGTTGTGTATTTGGAATTAGAGTTTTTGAGCCGCTCCTCCCCCCCCCCTCTACCCGCTTCCTCCTATAGGTCGTTTTTTGTTCACGGCAGCGAATGGTTCAGTGGTGGTTGGCTAGCGCGCCCAGCGGAAATTCAACACGACTGTGGACGAACGTTCTACGTGCGTGAAGTGTTCGCTGTTGACCAGCCAGACCAAACAAGACGAATTCGAAGACATTCAAAGCCACTGTGCAGTTCTTACTCCAAAGGAATACGTGAAAGGTATTAATAGACCCATTGCTTGCCGTATTTTATCATATGAATTGCACTTTGTCAGAGCGACCAACGGAGATTCCCGAATGCGACGTTTTTGTGTGCGAGTCACGTGTTCCTGGTGTCTCGTTTGCAAAAGGAGAACCTTCTTCACTTTTCCCCAAACCGTTGGAGAAGGTTTGTTTGGGGAGGGTTAGAGATATGACCAACTTGGTATATAACGAAAATGTTTCCAGGCTTCCGCAGAAGATGAGAACTTAGATCCGTTGAATGGGAGCGCCCCGATGCATATAGAATCGGCGAAACCTGTTCGAAAATTCAAGGTACTAACTCTCAACAATATAACTATCACGTCAGTTCGGCGACGGGTTCGGCGACGGGAGGGCGGAGGAGGGGGACGGGGCAGTTTGCACTTTTGCTACGTTCCTTCGACATGTGGAACCCTCTTGGGAGGAGTTTCATGAGCTTACAAGAGTTGACAGGTTTCACCATGGTGGCTGGACGAGCTTGCTCCAGCTTCACAAGAGTTCACAGGTTTCACCAGAGTGAGACTTGTGAACCGGAACTAGTGAAGCAACGAAAGTGCAAAATGCCCCCCCCCCCCTCCCCGAACGTACTATCTTCTGCATTCAAAGGCAAACCACGTGATAGGATATTGTGGATAGCGGCGTTAATTATGAACCTATGGTCGTACGTGACTCTCCAGGGAAAAAAATCATGGAGAACACCCTAAGTAAAGACCCCTGGCAGCCTCACTGTACGAGTTGTCCGGGGAAACTGGCGGTTCTACAGCAAACTAGTCAGATCACGCCGCGCGCGGCGATTCGCATGGCAGATGGCGCAACAATCTAGAGTTACACTGCCGTGTCCATGAGCTGTCGTTGGTGCATGGGATTGCTTTAGTTCACGGCGACCCCGATCAACACTGTTGGTTACCGACTGTCCTCGATCCATTCAAGATTTGGACAGAATTTGGATATGAGACAGCAGAACTCGTACGCAGTGGCTGCGGCGCGGCGAGACACGCCCACCGGTGACCTGGTAGTGCTCGCGATTGAATCGCCACAGATTCGTTGTTCGAAACTGCTCGTTTTATGCCAGAAAAGCAATATCCTACTGCATCTGGCTTACTAATCGTTTCTTTGCGTCATCCAGTGCGAATACCATCTAACAGAGAAAGAAAACGAAAACAAAGTGACTTCTGGACAGAAAATAGCCACTGGGTTTCGGAGTTCAAAGAGGCATCCGTGCTGCCGCTTATAAGGGCCGCAGTGTCTTCGTTACTTACTAGCCGCGAAAGCAGGACAGTCTCAGAGACTGAGGACCAACCTAGGCTTACAGCCTCTTATCGACCGGATATACTCTCGCTGCGAGGGTCCAGAGGTGTTTTTTCGTCGCATCTACTGGCAGAGCAGGTGAAGGGAAAGAAAAGGAAGAGGGAAAAGAGAAGGAAAGGTAAAGAAGGAAAGTAGGAGAGAGGCTTAACGGTTGACAAGTATACTCGAAATCCCTGAGACCGGGTAGACGTGGCCGCCTGTTTCAACCCTGAAGGTGTCTGTGCACATTGTTGTCGTGTCTCTGTCCAACACAGAACAAGATGACAGTTGTCCCAGACTGGAATATTCCACGAGTAACCAATTCCGTGCCATGTTCAAATGCCACGCCTACTCTGGGTCAGGGCTAAGGAGTGTATCCTGAGACGCGTCAGAACCCAGCAAGAAAGTCAGAACAGCCACTTATGAGGGCCGCAATGCCTTCGTTACTTCCTGTTAGGCCGCGATGGTGGCATAGTCTCAGTGAACAGACTACCTGAACAAGGAAGGACGCCTGCGAATTGGTTGCGCGCGGTGACGGTCTTTAAAAGGTGCTCTGCTATCGAACAGTTGTGGTTTGCGCCTTCATTTCTTGTCATCGCGTTGATGTAGCGTGGGAAAGACATGGCAGGGCGTGGGAAATGTTTGACGGGCGGAGCTTCATCGTGTAAGACAATCGGCTTCCGGCGGCCAGAACTGCAAGTGCCGCTTCCAATAGACGGATGAAAAAGTGGCGATGAGGAGGTGTTCAAGTGTGTCTCTTCATCTATACAATTAAATTTAAATCAATAAAGAAACGGGGAGACATTTAACTCTGATGGCCAAGTCCTTCTGTGCAATCGTTTATTACTTGTCGCAACTTCAACTCAATGCTATAATGCTGTATGAGTGAGTGTGTGTATCGAAGAGACGCAGAGTCGTCCCCCAGTTGGGGCACAAATAATGGGAGGCCGGCTGTTTGCACGATAGGCCATCGATTCGGAATACGAGGTCAGAGAGTGGGTGTTAGCGGAGAGATGAGGGTGGTAGCTGGAACAGAGAGATTGTGAGCTGGAGGAGAGTCACAGTGGGTGGTAGAGGCAGTAGCAGATGGTGTGAGAATTAGGGTGACAGGGTACGAAAGAGGCATAGTGTACGGATTGGAGGGTACCAGGATGGTGGCGGCGGGCAGTCGTTACGCGTCGTGCTAAGGGCTGGCGGTCGCGGTCGCGAAGGCGACGTCGTGCTCAGCGTGTGCGATTCGTTGTCGCTGCGATTTTGCTTCGCGTCACGCTGGCGATTCGCTCACCGCCGATGCTGGACGGGTAGCACGACGACGGCGGCGGCCGGCCGCCCGCCATCACAGCCGTGCACTCACGGATCCCCCCTATCAGCTTCCCGAACCCGATGCACTCTGCGTGGAAATTGTGTTGTTGTATACGGGGCGCCGCTTCTTGGCGTTTTTGTTCTCGTTCATCTTTGACCGCTCGCCTATGTGCGATGTTGTGACCTTTGAGCCTAATTTCTCGCGTATTTCTCATGTTGATCTCATTCGGCTATGTCACTCTCTTCGAAGCATTCTTATCTTTGCATTTTTTTGTCGATAAATCATGCAAAATTGATATTTTCAGCAATACAAAGGCGCACGCCTGCCGGATGCTGAGCTTTTTATCTTCAAGACACCAATAACTATGGAAAAGGTGAGGGGATCTCGTTGCAGTTGCATGGCGTAAACATTTCACGCTGCACATCTCGCTGTCGCATTCCTTCCATCATTTTGTCGATGACGTCACCACTGTGTGACATATTTGATTAAGGGGGGATATGAAAATATCTGAGGCTTAGAATAATCTTAGCATTTTCTGCTCGCTTAGTGCGCTTGTAGTCAGTAAGGTTTATCCCGTTGATCTTTGAGCTACCCGTAGAAAGCGCTTAGCGTACTGAATGTGGCCCATTTTCAAAGCACTTCTTCCAGGAAATGTCGCCATTAGTGCACAACGGATCAAACGGTCCTTCTGAACTAGATATGGAACTCGACGAAAATGATACCGATGGAACTGAATCGACTGCCAGCAAAGTGGTTACTATTTATTTCTTCGCAATAAAAGGGTAACTACGGAGAAGTTTAAGTCATTAGGGGAAAGTATCAAATCGTAGGGGGAGGGGCTTAGCCTGCTTTAGCAGAAAACGGGTTGATTAAAGTTCCCAGTCCTAGGAAGGAGAGTGGAGGCGGCGCGAGAGGGTTCCCACTTTGAGTAAGGATAGAGGGGAGCGCTCATCCCGGTAATTTAGTTTGCACAGGCGAAGTTTATACCTACGGGGGAGGGGATAGTGCAAAACGATGAAAGGGCAGGGCGAGGGCTGCAAAAGTGAAAGGATAGAGGTTGGAATTGTAGAGCAGGTAAAAGTGTAGGACTGCTCCCATTTGCCCTCTACGGACAGTTTGGCTAATTGGGAGTACTTTTATAGGACATGTGCAAAATTGGGAATACTGTGATGCAGACGCTGTTTTTGCACAAAGGAATTAGTTCACAGATCCCGGAGCTCGTTTCCATTTCCTAGACTTAGGCAAAAATTCTCATCTGCATTATCCTACTCCCAGTTTTGCACAAGGAAACATTGACTACCCCCCCCCCCTTTCCCCTTCCGCCATCCATTCGGCTACTTCCACCGGCTATTCTTCTACAGGTCGTCCTAAAGCGAGATGATAATTCGGACTGGGCCGAGCCCATGACGGGTTACTTTTGTCGCAAGCTCTTAAGTGTTTGGCTGGTTTGTTGAGAATTAAGGCTGAATTCCATGATTCTTGGGGTTCCCGTTCCTCGACGGATAATAAAAAGCCACTCTAGCTTGTATGGTTTCACTGGGAAGCTCCGTTCTAGAAGAAAGGCCCGTGCTGATGGTTTAGCAGTTGTATAACATCATTTTTCAGTCTGGTGTCATGTCAACTTGGCTTGCTGCGCAGCCGAAGTTGACGGCAAAGAGTAAATCTGGATACATTTTGTTCTCGGCCGAGATACGAAAACGAATTATGCACGAGAACCCTGACTCAGGTTTCGGTGAAGTGTCCAAGATTGTAGGAATTGAGGTAATTTTAGAGAGTATTCAAGTTTTTCAAGGAAACCATTTGAAGTCACTCGCTTTATGAGTCATTATGAGCATGTGCTTTCAGTGGAAGAAACTATCTGATGATCAAAAGCGCCAGTATGAGGTCCGTGCCGAATACATTGCCAGCGAACGTGCTAAACAGGAAGCGGCCAGAGCTGCAACGGAGAAGTCACTACAGGTGAGACTGTTTTTTTTACTGTAATTAGGGTTGTTGTTTTTATGAGATATCCTGTGGTTTCTTAGCGATGGGATGTGAGAAAGTGCCAGGGAGGCGGTCCGGCATTGCCGCTGGGCGGAGCTAGGGAACGAGTTCATCAGCGCGCACTCTTTCTACCATCTGCGCCGGTGAGGCTGGTAGAGGTGGGGCGCGCGCAATAAAGTCGTTTTCTTGCCGCGCCTACCCAACCGTCCCGGAAGGGGGGATGGACAAGACGATCGCGGTAGTCGCTTCATCGCCTGCGGCGTACCGCGCGGCGATGCGCGGCAAGTTCTCGATCAGCATCTGGCGATTGGATGGCGGTACTCATGTAAATTCATACGGAGAGAAGATTCCATAGCGGGCTATATAGGATTTCCCGGTTTCTTCAACCCTCACATTTAAACGGCCAGGCAGGGCAACTCGTCCGTCGGGCGCGGCGTCGCTCGCCAGGTCTACAAACGCGGCAAATTACGATTGTCTTGTCACATACCCACCTGAAAGCTGTCTTCATGCCGAACTTCGAACGAAATGTTTCATTATAGTGTTTATTGGATAAATTCAATGTTTCAGCCTGGTCAAATGCGTATCTATCAGTGCAAGTGGATCAACTGTGATTCTCAGTTTGATAGCGAAAATGGTCTTTATGAACACATTGTGCAGCATCATACAAGTCAGATAATCAGTGAGTTGTGTTTACTGTTCTTCTTCTTTTAATAATTTGTACGAAAAAAAATTTATTGTTGTTCAGTGGACAGTGAGCAGCAGTATGTGTGTATGTGGGTAACATGCGTTCGAAATAGAAAGGATGGAAAACCGTTTCCGTCTCTACCTCGCCTACAACGCACGCCATTATGAAAAGTTGAGTTCGTATGGCCTTAATAAGTCGTTTATGGTGAGAGGCGGCCAGACGGCAAGGGGGCGGGTTGTCAAAAGTATAACCTAGTGGCATCAAAAATGGGAGTACTGTAATGCGGAAAGAAATTGATCCACCTGTGGGAACTTCCCATCCTGGGCACAGACAGAAGTTCTCATCTCCTTTACGGTAAGTATCCTAGTGTAGCACACTGGGTTCTTTTTTTTCTCGTTTCGAATGCCCCCTCCAAACGAACCTCCCTTAACCGCCTTTGTTGAGTGCGCCAGGCGAGCGTTTAGCTCAATTCTGGTTATTTTGGGAGTTTGGGCTCAATTGTTACTTCAGGAGAAACATATTGGTACCTCAATGAAAAGCGTGTATGCGAATCAAATTGGCAGGAATTTCTTCAAATTAACAACCCAAACCACACCAAATGAGAGACCGTAAGTATTGATTCATTAAAAATTGAAACTTTTCTTAGGGTTCCAAGCTTATTTCCAAATTTGCAGACAACTAGTCTTGTTCACATTCCGTACGGAAGGGGTCTGGCCCAGCTGTCTCAAACGCCTTCAACTCCTCAGGCTGCTCATGTTAAATGCGGTCATGGAGCGAATGCAGCAACCTCATCTTAACGGAGACATCAATTATTCAGGTAAGTAGAGACCATAGCCTTCATTGGAGCAACAGTCTTGCCTTAATAGTGGGTGGAAGGGGGGAGGATTGCGTGTAGGTCTTGTGAAATCGCTGTGACTAAATTGCCAAACTCGTAACAGGTTTTGCGCAGTCCAGCTTACGGATTTGACGTTCGACAGATGACCTGTTTACCACAAGAATCAGAAGAGCTGACGAAAGTGTAAATTGCCCCTCCGAGCCGAACGGCACCGTTCATTGGCAATGTTTCAGCCACAAGTGCAGCAATCACATCAACCTCCTACTGCTCAAATCCAATCGCAAGTCGCTCATCAAGCTACGCCTTCATGCTCACAGGAGCTATTGTTAGTCGCTAAGAAATAGCATCGACTGAAAGTGTGTCTTACATTAGCTATGTATTCCAGCCATCGTCATCAGTAGCTGTGCCAACAATCACTGATGCTGGTCGTACTGTCGTGAAATCTCAGGGAGTTGAGCCAGTCTTTGGGCCTGACCCACACCTTCGTCCGGCTTTCATGACACGCCGTGTGTTTTGCCACGTCGGAAAACAATATCTTAGGTGAGTTCGTCAGTCTTATTGCTAGAAAAAGAAAAGCGCAGCATAGTCATCTGGTCCTCTTGTAGTTACGACAAGGCCGTGGTGGATGGGTTTGAGCGAGCTTACACCCGTCCGCTGTCGGGCACCACTTGTTCCACCGTCAGCAGGAAAGTGGCCCGTATACGCCTTCCATGGCTGCATTTAACGTAGGCAAGACGAACGCAAACAGAGACAGGACAAGGCATAGTTTGTGCTACTCGCCTTAGTCACCCCCGCCCCAATAACTGTCTTTGCCCCGGTTTACGTGTTCCTTGGAAATGTAGAAAAGCCACTAGGATGAAGACGTTTCTCCTACCTTTCAAATTTATGACTTTACATAGCGCCTATTTTATGCGTAGGCAACTGTATTTCCGTTTTTTGTTTAGGACAGCGCGAGGATTTGGAAATTTTACATTCTGTTGGGAAATATACGAAATTCACTGTGATATAACTGAAGGTAGACTCGATATCCCAAAGATGGGTGGGGTGTGGCTGCGTACTTCAGTCGAGCATGACGTTAGGCTCGTTTTTCGTGGAGTATTTCCATTTGAGACAATTGTCATACTGTCTTTTGCTGATCAAACAGTGAATCCAGTTGCCCCAGAAACGATATTGTCCTACAAGGGGCAGGTATGTTATGGTAATGTGCGGCCACAGCCAGCTCCATCTCTGGGATTATGGAGTGCGAATCGGGCAGAACGGTTTATTTAGCGACCGTTAATGAAGAGAACTTCGAAAATGTTTTTCCATTGCGTTACGCTGCCATGGATAAGCAAAAATAATGGACTTGTTAATGTTGTTCATTAATGGAAAGACAGATTTTATGCGGTTTTCAGGTATATTGAGGTCCACTTTTCGTCGAATCGCGCGAACGCTCTGTCTCGAAATGGGATGCATCGCTGAGCACAAACCCGCGTAATGCGCAGCCGAATGCAGCTCGACCGCCTCCGACACATTGGATCAGAGTTAGTCTTCCTTATTATGCCTACTGTTCTCGTGAATGTACAACAGTCACTGATGCAAAGGAAAACAAAACGAGGGCTGTGGGGGGGGGGGGATACGGAAGCGGCATGCCTTACTCGCACCGTCGTTGCGGACTGCAGGATGGCACCAATTTTGGGGAGACTGGACTGACAGCGCTCCAGTCAGACGCCCTATCGTTTACAGGTGTCATGACTATGGTTAAGGAGCGGATCGCTTGCGACAGCTAGAATTGCTTGCTAGTTGGCTCCATGCGGCAGCTAGAATGCTTGCTAGTTGACTCGATAGGGCATTGTGGCGGCAAATCAGTTGTGCTGTGGTAGCCTCGCCCCTTAACGTTTATTTGATGGCTTTATCTTAAAAAATTCGGCAACTGGTAAATTTTCCTTTGTCCAGATTAAGTATTACTCCAAACTAAACTAATGAGCTCGTGAAAGGGGGAGCACAAAGCGCCCAACACTCCCGATGTTCCGTAATAGAAGGCGTGCCGCAGCGCGGAAAGAGAGCCAGTACCCGCGCGCTTAGTTTTAGCTGCTGCTGCGGCCTACCCGAATGCTATGTTAGCTTGCGAGCTAGAATCAGTTTTAGAACGAACACACTTACTGTAGGATTAAAAACTCAAGGAGAAAACAATTTGTCCATTTTCGAGATTAGGCCGTGAAATAAGGGATATAGGATGCAGGTTACCATGACACAGCTGGTTTGACGCCTAAGTGCCATTCTGAGTCGATTAGTCGACTAGACAGGAATAGTGGCTGTTTCGTACGCAGCGCAGCACCTGAACTACACCCCTAGGCGCTAAGGTGGTGGTTGGAGGGGGCATGCTTGAGCGCAGAGCCCTCATTCATCTCCTACGTTACTCCCCTAGGCGCTAGCGTATAATGTCACGCTTCGATAATGACCAGTATGGCCGTCTGCGCTTCTCCCCTCACTCTGGTAATTACCGCTTCCTTCTCCCAAGTTAAGGCTGGGGGAAGAAAGAATCGTTGCCTTGATTGGGGAAAGCGCAGAGGCCCGGACCCCGCGACTGTGTCAACGCCCACCCATTCCCTTTTTCAATCGTACTTCACTAATTATTTCTCTTTTCTTTGAAGGAATCTCGTGGGCGACCGGTTACTCGAGAAGAAGACGTGGTGCGTGCACTGTGGCGACTACGTGATGAACTCCTTGAAAGCACTTGCAACATGTCAGTAGAAAGGGACGTTGGTGGTGTTTTATGAAGGCGATACACGTCATACTATGATATTCTGTAATGTATGGTCCCGTTTGGATATTATCTTTAATATGATCTTTGACCCGTCATTTCCATTTGTGACTTTTCTAAAAGGCAGGTGTGCCTTGCCGTGGTACTTTACGCGCGTGCGCGCACACGCACGTGCGCGTTTCCGTCGTTCATGATCTCCTCGTACCGCAGTATCATATTTGCTTGCAATCGATCAAGCCTTTAACCCCCTTTCTCCCGACCACCTCGGAATGTTATTGTGTCTAATTCCCTTCTGTCTATGACCGCGTTAAAATTTCGCGATCGCGCGATTGGATAGCGCGATCGCGAAGTCTGAACGCTGTCTGTCGGTCACATACCACATCGTACGCATCGTACACACACGCGTTTTTTTTCTCTGTGCTTTTTCTTCATACGCAGCACTTCCCTCCTAACACTCAATGCATAAATTCAATCCTCATCAATTGAACATCACATTTTACTATCTCGCATACGGTGAATTTGTAGGTCTCTGACCCTATGTGTACATTGTGATGATGTTTGTTATATATACCATTTGATACTTTTTACTTCTAATTTTTTTTGTTTTGTTGAGCCTTCTTCCTTGGTCGTTGAAGTATGTAGTTTGGTGAGGTCGATGAACAGTCGATTAATTAAATATTGTTTCAATAATACCAATGTACCACAAATAGTTAATAATTATTTTCACATAGAGTCGCGAACAAGAGATCCTATCTCTTAAAGAACACGAAATTTAGCAAATAATTAGCTATAGTAAAGCCACATTAGAAGTGAAATGAATAAATGCAATGGTTAGAGGATTGTGAACTCTGTGGAGTTGCCACCGGCTTCGGCTAATTAGGCACGGGGATAAGAATTAGGAATTACGCAGGTCGCTTTCATACTTCGCGACTCGAGCGATTTAGTCGCGCGACTGCGACAGACCACGCTCCACGGTTAATCGTTGGACCACTGCAACTGCCGCTTCAGGTACATGTACAAGTATCGGGAAAAGAGGGTGTGTACAGTACTCCCAGAGATCGCGCGTGAAATTAAGTGTGTCAATCAGTGGTCGCACAGATCTGGGCGTCTCGTGGGTTTGAATCACGGGTTTAGGTAAACCACGTGGAAAACGAGGTATCAGGACTGCGCGTGGACTACCGTCGCTCCACCTCTTGGCCCCACCCCTGACATTTGGCTTAATAAACTTGTATGACTAAACCAGCCTATGGTATGCGCAATTGCATGCGTTCACGGCCCGACACATTTAATTTCACGCAGAATTTTCGCGGGCACTGTATTCACCATGTTTTCCTGG